TGGTGCGGTCGACACGCGTGCCGGTGGCGGTGCCACGCTCTCGGCACAGCCTTGCTGGAGCCGAGCGCCCTGGAGGCAATTAGAGCTGCTCCCATCCCTCCCCGGGTTTCCCCAGAGCAAACACGACCAAGTGCAGAAGAAACTGGAGTCGGTGGAAAAGCAGCTGGAAGAGGCCCAGCAGCTGGTGCAGTTGCGTGAGATGAAGATAAGTGGCTCTGGAGGAGGTAGGAGAGTCCCTTCGGGGGCGATGCATGCTCTGAGCATCCAGCCTGACCTGCGGGACCAGCACGGCCACCCCAGCGGGGCAGCAAAGCCTCTTGCAATGGGCAGAAGTTTGGCCTCCCTAAGCAGTGCTGCTCCCCAGCCCCCGGCCACCCCCGTGTGTTTTTGGCACCCCGTCATTCTGCGTTGCTCGCCCGGCGGGAGCTGGCAGCGACAGCTCGGTCGCAGACGGCTCTGGCTTCTGCAGGAGGCTGGGGATGCAGGCAGGGATTCTGCCTATGGGCGCTGCTGGTGCTTGATGGCGCTGCCTGGCACTGCCGGCGGCTCAGAGTGCGCGTGGAGCATGTTCGTGATGGGGAGGCTGCTAAGATGCAAGTGGGATGGGATGGGACGGGACGGGATGGGACGGAATGGGATGGGATGGGAAAGGATGGGGTGGGAACGGAAGGGATGGCATGGCATGGCATGGCATGAGCATACATGCTTTGCGTAAGGTGGGGTACATGTGCGATGCGAGCCCTGGGTGCACAGAGCAGAGCTGCGCCCTAAGAGCCGGGTGCTTGCATTCATGCCCTATGGGAGCCGCGGTGCTGTTGTGCATTTGCCCATCCGAGCCCGGCACGGCCGCTTGGGCTGGTGTGGCCTGAGCACCCCCCCCAGTGCCTCCGGGTGTCTCCGTTGGCAGAGGATGAGTGGCAAGTGCGCTTCGACTGCGCACAGACGGAGATCGCCTTCCTGCGGAAGCGGCTGGTGCAGCTGGAGCAGCGGCTGGAGTCGGAGCTGGGCGCCAGGACGGGGCTCGAGCAAAAGGCAAGCAGTGCCGGCCCCGGGGGCGGGAGGGGACGGGGACCCCCCCGGGGTCACACCGTGGAGCAGGGCTGCTGCTGGAGCCGGTTGTCCTCTCCTCGCTGCCAGGACAGGTGAAGCTGGCTGCGACACGGAGATGCTGATGCTCTCATTGCCCAGGGGCAACCAGCTGGGTTTTGCTGGTCTGAGAATGAATACCCCAAAACTTCCTTCAGGCTTAAAAAGTCACTTTTGCACCACAGCATGGCAAAATTCCCCCCCTTGGTCCAGCGCGAGCATCAGCACAGGGCAGAAAGCTGCGGGGTGGGGAGGGGCTCAGTGGCGGGTCTTGGTGTTGATGTGGTTTTTGGATACTGGATGGGGTTGTGCTCGTACCGTCTGTCCCGCAAAGAGCTGCTGATGGAAAGAGCTGGCGGTTCCCGAGCTTTGCCGTGAGGAGAGAAAAAGCCAGCGTGCCTGGGAGTCAGGTTACTTCCCATAAGGACAAAATAAAGAAATGAATATTATTCATGGTACATTAAAAAGTAATAAGAAAAGCAGCCCGGTCTTAGGAGCTTGGGTAAAGCAAAACAGCCCATTTGCTTTCCGATAGTTAGTTGGGAATTACAGGCTTCATTACTGCAAGGTTTTGCTTACTTAAAGTCATTCCTTAACGACTCTGTTCTCTGGCTGGCAAGAGCTCTGCGTGTCTCTTTGCCCCAAACACGATGCGACTCCTTGGGGGATCGAGCTCGTTCCGTCCAGGCACTGCCTTTAGCAGAGGAACGGGACCAGGCGGCCGCCCCTGGAGCAGTTTTGCTGACTCAGCAGGAGGGTTGGGATGCTGCGAGCATACGGGAGGGTACCCGGAGCATGAGGCGTCAGGGCACCTAAATTTATCCTTGGTTGGCGGTAGATCTCTGGGTGCACCGTCCCCTGGCAGCGGTGCGGGGCTGAGCCCCACGGCGGGGAGCGTCTGTGGGGCACGTGTGCTGTGGGGTCCCTCCGCCGCTCACCGTCGCCTCTGCCCCGCAGCTCGGCGAGGCGCAGGCAGCCTGCGAGGCAGCCAAGAAGGTGTCCCAGCAGCTGCGGCGGCGGTGCAGGCGGCTGGCCTGCGAGCTGGAGGACGCGCGGGTGCTCGCCGAGAGCCAGCAGAGCCGCGGCCACGAGCTGGAGAAGAGGCAGAAGAAGTAAGGCTGGCGGGAGCGGGTTGGGGGGACACGCCTGGGAGCGATGGGGGTGCTGGAGCGGGAGGGCACGGGGATGCTTAGGGCGGCTTCGGGCGAGGAGTCCCTGGAAGGGCTGCTGTTTTCATCTCCTTCAGCTGCTGGAGGTTGCACCAAGCCGAGGGGGTATTTTTACATCCCGTCGCTGTGTGACTGTGACACGCTTGCACGATAGAAGTCACTCCCGATGTGACGCTCGGCGGCAGCGTGGGGAGGGCTGCCCGGGGCTGGGGGTGAGGGCACCCTCCTGCTGGGCTGTCCCGGCGTCGGTGCGCCCTCGGCACGGAGGTGCCCGCGCTGGGAGCGCTGCTGGCAAACCGGGCAGAGGAGCCCTGTCGCTGAGAAATGCTCCCCGGTGGGTTTAATGCTGCTCTGTGGTACCCGTGAAGGAAATGGGTTTTCTGCCCAAAAAATAGGATACCAAGACTAAGCAGGCACAGAAAACGTGGGAAATCAGCAATCGCTTTCTTCATAATTTCTTTTACTTTACACTTGGTTGCCGGTGATCCCTGCCTGCCTGTGCTGAGGCGCTGGCTGTGGGGCTGACCCATAGGTATGGAGATGCTGAGAAGCTCTCAGAATTATTGCTCGGAAGCAGCAACGGTTCCTGAGCTGACACCAAACCCTCGGTGGGGCAGAGGCCCGGCCAGCCCTGGGGAAGGAGCTGCCTGCGGTGACGGGGAGCGGAGGGCTGCTGCCTGCGCACAGGCGCGTTTTGGGGGTATTTTGGGTCTGCAGCAGCTGATCACAGCAGATTTTTGCCCTCTGCTCTCAGCGACCGCCTGTGTGCACATCGCTGCTGCTCCACGTCTGCTTCCTGCGGCCGGCACTTGTGCGCAGTAATTAGGGATTCACAAAGCGATGGCAGCACTTTGCAGACAATAGGCTGGGGGTTCTTTGGGTTGGTTTGTGGGGTTTTTTGTCCTCTCAAAAGCACTTGGAAAGTGCAGTGCCGGGTGCAGCGCCGCCCTCGCAGAGCCGCTGGGGAGAGGTAACGTGTGTTTCCCCCTCCAGGTTCGACCTGCAGTTAGCGCAGGCCCTGGGGGAGTCCGCCTTTGAGAAGAGCCTCCGTGAAAAAGTGTCGCAGGAGAACACCAGCATCCGATGGGAGATGGGCAAACTTCAGCAGAGCTTAGAGGTAAGAGGAAGACATCCCACCTTGCTGCATTAGATCCAGTTTCGGGAGCAGCTCTCAGAGCAAAGCCATTATCTTTGCAATTATAGCAGAGGCAATCGGGCACAAACCCGGCAACTTGATTTCAGTTTCTTTTGGCGCAGTTCTAGGATATGCCTGATGTATTTAAATAACGTTATCCTCTGCTGGAAGAAAGGCTGACACTTTTCACGAGTGGTACCCATCCCATGGTTTAGCTAATTAGGCCCACCCTCATTTTCACTGAAGTCACCTGCGCTCTTCTTCACACCTCTACCCACAACCTCATCCGCAAAAAGCCGCAGGTCTGTGCCCCCGTGGGATGGGGCTGCACCGGGAGCCCCCCGAGCCCCCTGCAGTGGCAGGGCCATGGCGTGCTGGGGGGAATCACAGAATCATAGGATGGTATAGGTTGGAAGGGACCTTGAAGATCACCCAGTGCCACCCCCTGCCCTGGGCAGGGCCACCTCCCCCCAGCCCAGGTTGCTCCAAGCCCCGTCCAACCTGGCCTTGAACACCTCCAGGGATGGGGCAGCCACAGCTTCTCGGGGCAACCTGTTCCTCTGTCTCACCACCCCCAGAGTGACAAATTTCTTCCTCATATCTCATCTAAAAGTCCCCTCTTGCAGTTTGAAGCCATTCCCTCTCATCTCATCACTCCATGCCCTTGTCAAAAGTTCTTCCCCAGCTCTGCTGGAGCCCCTTTAGGCACTGGAAGGGGCTCTGAGGTCTCCCCGGAGCCTTCTCTTCTCCAGGCTGAACCCCCCCAGCCTAAAAGTGGCCACCAGCCACTCCGGGCAGTGGGGGCTGTGGGGAACCCCTGTGGGGCACAGCCCATGGGGAGAAGAAGGTGAGGTTGGAGCAAGTGAGCAAAACCAGGAGGGAAAGGTTTGCTCAAGGCTCGTGGTGGGGATGGGGCTGATGGAGAAGGGAGAGGACCGAGCGCTGCTGCTCCCGGGGTGTTTCTGCTGCTCCTGCTGGAAACGGTGGGGGCTTTTAAGAGCGGGGTGCTTGTGCGCCCCCCTCTCTCCCACATTTGGGGCTTGGCTGGATGCCCCCACCGCCGTTCCCCCCGCGCCAC